AAAATGAAAATGGAAGCTGTGGATTAAAAAACTTTGTTCAGGATTATTTCTGACGTATGATTACCAGCATTGGGGATTGCAGGTTGATTTGAATTGCATCTTGCTGCCATATGCAGGTTGGAATTTCATAATCTGAAAATCGAATAAGCATTGTGACAAAAACTCCCATGTAACCGGGACTTTTAACATGCTTCCCACGCCCCACCCAGTTAATAAATTTTAGGGTAAGAGGCATTTGTAGTCTTTTATATTGAATTGTGAAGAGCAGTGGAGTTGGGAATACTTATTTAGTTTATCTTTCTCATCATTTGTCTGACCTACTTCTGTTATCTTTTTCTTTTTTCCCTCTTCTTTCTGGTAAGCTGTGACTGTGAACATGGATCTCAAAGATTTCTGTTCACAGTTTATTCCAATTTTATATTTCCTTAGACTTAGACAACATGGATTTTTTTAATATACTGTAATATAATGCCATAGGATACCGTTATATAACAGTAGAGTTTTAGGTATGTTGCTGGGCATTAGGCACATGGTAATGAGGTCTAATGTTTGTTAACTATTCTGCTTATCAATATCACGTTTCCATTATTTATATTCCAATCACTGAATGCTAAAACTTGTATAATACATCAATCATTTTCAATCATTTGTTTACATGCATTATTGGGGCCCCAATCCATTCAAATATTTGCTTTAATATTATGTGGTAATAGTGATTAAGTTACGTAATTTTTATCTCAGCAATAACAAGTTCAATGCCTCCCACTGAACTGTCGTTCCCGACAGTAGAGCTCAGGTTTTCTCGACAATTAGGCCAGCCTTCTTGCATGTTTGGACATCAACTGTCGGTATAGACAGATCTCGACAGATCATCTGTCGGTACCGACGGTTGTAGTCAGTTTTTCTTGACAGTTGAGTGTGTTCATGCCTTAGTGTGTTTCATTAAACTGCTACTTATGATACAATATCTTTAAGTTTATCCAGTAACCCGAGTGAGTTTTATGAATGCATCTTGCAGGACACAGGACTGATGGAGTTTGATTATTGTATTCCAGAGGAGGCAAGGTTGCGGGCCCACATTTCACAGAGGAGCAACTTGAAGTATGTGAAGACAGTGATGGACGTTTTCGATGACCGACAGCGCGACGAGTTTCGAAACTCCCCATTCGGGTATCTGGCCGAGGTTGCAGAGATTCAATTCTCTGCCCAGCTCATCCAGCAGCTCATGTTCAGAACCATTCGCACTGATAAGGTTAACGAGCTCTGGTTCAATGTGCAAGGCAACATGATGAGATTCGGTCTACAGGAATACACCCTTGTGACGGGGTTAAGATGCGGTGTATTCCCGGAGGGTGATGAGTTCGATCGAGTGCTGGAGAGAAGAAGGCTGAAGGAGAGGTACTTCAAATCCATGGAGAAGATATCGTTGGCACAACTCCAAACTACTATTGGCCGACCTTCGACGGCTCGAGCCGACCGCTACAAGCTAGGGCTCGTGCTAATAGTCGAAGGAGTTTTCAATGCCCCTGATAATAATGTCGGAATTGATTTACGTACACTATCTATTGTTGACGACCCAGATATCTTTTTTGCCTACCCTTGGGGTAG